CCCCCAAAAAAAAAGCCCCTTTTGTCCCTCTGTCCAAAGCCGGGGTCATGACCCGGGTGATGCAGAGCCAACCTGGACGTAAACACTTTATGGGCTCTTCTTTAAATATTTAGAGGCACTTCAGGGAACTGGGATGGGGCTGGGGGGGGTCGCAGGGTATTTGAGTTGGTTTGTTGGTTTGGTTTTTTTTTTTTTTGTGTGGTTTGGTGGGTTTTTTTATCATATCTCGAGTCCTCTGTTGCAAAAAGACACTCCTCCGCCTCCAAAAAAAATCAACCTGGGCATGGGAATAGGGATGAATAGGACTAAACCGGGACTAAAATAGGAATCAACCAAACAGGAGTAAAATAGGAATAAACCAGGAGTGAAACAGGAATAAACCAAACAGGAATAAAACAGGAATAAACCAGGAATGAAATAGGAATAAACCAGGAATTAAATAGGAATAAACCATGTTGGTTTTAGGAATAAACCAGGAATAAACCAGGAATGAAACAGGAATAAACCAGGTATAAAACAGGACTAAAATAGGAATAAACCAGGAATAAACCAGGAATAAACCAGGAATAAACCAAACAGGACTAAAATAGGAATAAACCAGGACTAAAATAGGAATAGAACAGGACTAAAATAGGAATAAACCAGGAATAAAATAGGAATAAACCAGGAATAAACCAAACAGGACTACAACAGGAATAAACCAGGAATAAAATGGAATAAAATAGGAATAAACCAGGAATAAACCAGGGAAAGCGCAGGAGATGGGTCGTTTAAACGCTGGGGGTGTCGTGAGGTTTTAAGCGCGGGTGAGGTAGCTCGGAGGGATTGAAAATTTAATAGTAATAAAGAAAAAAAAAAAAAAGTTGGGGTTGTTAACGCCGCGCAGACACGGGCGTGTCACGGTGTGTACCTGAGCGCCGCGCAGGGACACGCGTGGATGTCCCCGCTTTTATCCGCCGCTCTCCGCCTCCTCTGCCTCTAATTGTCCCTGTAAAAGCGGGGGATAATTATAAATTATAATTATAAACGCAGCACCGCCGCAGCTCTCCGCTCCGCGGCCCCTATGCATAAATCCATACGCGCTGGGGCCCTGCGCGGTGAAAAACGCACCCCGCAGAAACACACTTTTTGGTTAAAAGTACCCACTCGGGGGAAGGAATTAATGTGTAATTTGGAGAATTCGCCTGACGTCGAGCGGACACCTCCGCCTCTCCCGGAGGTTTTATTTCCAGGGAGAAGCGGGGGGGGGGGGGGGGACACACGACACACACATAGAGGTTTAATAAATCTGCCGGTTTATTCATTTAAAATAAATAAATAACTAGATTAAATAAGTCATAATAATAATAAAACCTCCTCCAATTCCCGAATCGCCCACCACTTTCAGCTTGTTTAAGTTTCTGATTGCATAATCAGGGAATTAATTGGGGATAAAAGAAGAGCGGCTCTTAAGGAGGGGGGGACAGAGGA